ATTTAAATTAGAAAATTAAGGAAATATGTTATTTCACTAAAGTAGATGCATTCAACATAAGAAATTGTGAAGAAAAAAGGCAACAACATGGAGCAAGAATTTCGAATAGCCAGTAAAACTTTTTCAAAACAGTGCAAAAACTTCCCAGCTACGCTTTGCTCGTTTCCATTGGAACATCCTCCACATCATTTGCTGAGTCTGTCTTCGTCTGCTGCTGTTGAGTAGTAGTAGTAGAGCCCGTGCTTGTTGCTGCAGGAGCTGCAGACACAGCTGGGGCTGCCTGCCCATCGCTTTTTTTTGAAAGAGCCAACTGCGCCGAAGTTTTCGCATCAATGAACAGTTCGGCACATTGCTGAACATCTTCCTTCTGAAAAAGTAAAATTCCAGAACAAAAAAATACGTCAAAACTTGTATTAAAATGACTGAGTGAATCATTAGTGTGGAGCTTCTCATGGTAATGTGATGCAGATGAGCGAAAACCATAATTATGCAAAATGCCTGTGTGGAATGCTGGATTATACATGTGATAAAACTGTGCTTTTTATAAAGTAAAATAAAATTTCAACAAAAAAAAAAAAACATCTCACTGGCGCTGGTCCCATGAAAATACAAAGGAATAATGTCAAATTTCTTGGTAATCGTGCTATCGCGTGATGTATCCAATAATGATTAATGGTATTTGTTAAAAATAGATTAAAGATCAACTGGGTTACTAAGGCGCAGTACTCCTGTCCCTGGTTCAAACTTTGACCACCCTACCCTCAATAAACTTTCGATCTTTGTCCCCTGGGGTATAAAAGCACTCCTTCCCATCGCCGGGATCTTCATTGTTTTAGCTATCCACCACTTCTATTTTACCTGCGACCTATTTCTTCTATTTAACCGATACTCCTATTCTGGAGAGCTTTGGCTCACTAGAGCCTTACTACATTTATTTGTATTCTCGTTTAACATGTATTCTCGCTTTATTATAAATATGCATAAAGGACGCAACGTCTTACAAACTCATACACTCACATACAAGAGGGGCACACACTAATTTAATAAGATAACAATTAGGGTCGCGGTAGTGCATCGTAGCTGAATTAAGTATTCCAAATTCCCATTTTTATGCGTTTTTTGCAGTAATGCAATGCAAAAAACGCATATTGACGAGAGGTTGTCTGT